TCAGTGGTAACTTTATAGGATTGCAGCGCTAAAGTCTGGGGATCGTTTCCAATAAGTGGACAGAGCGTTTAACGACACATTAACAGTCACTCTTATAACGCACTTAGAGCTACATAGTGCGTGATATGACTATATTTTCGTTAACAGCGCGTAAACCATCGAACTTCGGATCCACAGTACGGCACACTAACCACGCGGCTAATTTTTTTTATTAAACTTGTTTTTGGTTTTATACGATTTTTTTTTTTACTTTGAGTACCTACAAGTGAAAAATTGGAAAACATTCCAATCGGTCATTTTACTTTAAAAAGCAAGTGATTAAAAATAATTCTAATAAATTGTTAATAACACATGTTAACATAGAATGTATGGTTCTATTTTTATGCTGTTACTGGTTCTTGAGGCTCATTTTCTTGAATTGTACCTTCTTTCAGATCGTTGACCAGTCTGTAAGACAAGATATGAATAAAAAGAATTGATATTTTTATTTCAAAAACAGAAGTGAAAAGCTACTGTTTTAATTAAGCACATTTCAAAACACATTCCATAGTTCTAACTCAAACACATGATAGATGGCGCTTTAAGTATTTAATTGCAAGAATCGGAAGTTAACGGCGTTCAGGCTTATTAACTTTGCTAAAAATTCTTCTCAACATTTTGCATCTTTCTAAAACTGAATGAAAGTGTGTTTAACGTGTTTTTAACTATATAATAATACGCCAAGGCTTCTTGCCAATACTTTGCATCTTCGTATAACTGTACAATAAGTAAAAACCTTGTTTAAAACATAAAAGGAGATTTATTCTTCACATAATTCATAGAAGCCCCAATGTAACAATGAAGCTACTCCATTATCACCAATTAATTTTATATTTACCCTAAAGTAGTGTCAGTACTCGAAAAACAAAACCGTTCGGGCAGTCAAATGTGGTATCTGAGCACGTGAGTCCCCTGGGGTATAAACACAGTTTCAAACATGACGTACACAGGATCCGGGTGGAGAGAGGGACATAGCAACAAAATCCGAAGCCAGATTCGGGTACAGTGACCCTCAAAACCTACTCTTAGACTTCTTCCCTTCATGCTTGGGTCATCTTCATGGCACGTTGTATCCCCCCCCCCTCCTCCTTGGTACACGAAGGAAGATGTTTCAGAATAATAACGAACTATTTGATGATTAGTTTGCCAAGAAAAAATCTATACGAGATTAAATGAAACGTGGTATTGTTGGAAACAGTTAGATATTTCAGTTTATAATTAAGCCAATAGAATAATGAAATTTTACGTAAAATATATTATATTTTTTTAGTTTGTTTGTAGTTAAGCACAAAGCTACTCAATAATGGCTGGAAACGGCTTGAATGGGTAATGAAGAAAAAAAAACTTTAATATAACAGCAAATGTACAACGTTTCGACAAGGTTTTTTTCCTTTAAAGTTTTTCTTCATTACCCATTCAAGCCGTCTCCAGCCATTATTAGTCTCAAAGTGGGTTCCTCGTCATCGAAAAGCTACTCAATGATTATCTGTGCTGTATCGAAAGCCAGATTTTCTTCAGATTTCCCACTGAGCCACTAGGAAGGCATAAAGTGTATTAGTTTTGATTTCAGCCCAGTTTACACTGGGCATGTTACCGAAACTAAAGTTTTGGAAACCTTTTTCTGGTAAAAAAAAATATATATCCAATGTAGATTTCTTGTTTCTGACAATTGATAACAGGTTTTGAATTTTTTTTCTTCAACCAATCAAGGAAGAATGCCAAATCACGTGACAAAAACATCCTCCTTGTCACAGTACGGCTGACATAAGTAGTAAAGCATTCTTAGGGAGCATTTTGTTTGAGTATGAAAACTAAAACGTCAGAAATTGTCTTAATAATGAAATAATCTTAACAAACAGTTCAACTTTATTTCATGACAAAAATAAATCAAAAGATGAATTTCGTAACTGTTTGTTTACAAATGATTGTTTGTTTTTGAATTTCGCGCAAAGCTACACGAGGGCTATCTGCGCTAGCCGTCCCTAATTTAGCAGTGTAAGACTAGAGAGATCATCATTCATCACCACTCACCGCCAACTCTTGGGCTACTCTTTTACCAACGAATAGTGGGATTGACCGTCATATTATAACGCCCCCACGGCTGAAAGGGGAGCGTGTTTGGTGTAACGGGGTTTCGAACCCGCGACCCACAGAGTGCGAGTCGAGCGCACTAACCACCTGGCCATGCCGGAGCCCTAACCACCTGGACATGCCGGGCCGTTTACAAATGAATCTACTGAACTTAAATAATCAATTCACAAATATCTTAACAACAACTTTTCAGTAGACAAGTTTTTATTTTAATAATTACATCGTTTCGACCTACAGTATAGATGGTACGAGTTGAAGCGATTTAATTATCAAAATACGAGTTTTTCTGTTGTAAAGTTTGTTGTTATTGTATCTATTGTAATTAATTTATAACTGTTTATTTTTGTTTTGCTTTTATTAAACGCACAATTTGTTATCTGCGCTGTGTTCACCACAGGGATCTAACTCTTTAGTTTAGTGTTATAAGTTCTCAAACTCAGACAGAAGAAACTTATCATGAATATTCCTGAATGGGATAATCGATATAAAAAGTGATCATCATATTTTTTGTTCTAAAGTTATAAATGTTGAAAAATATTCAATTTTCATTATTCGTTATTGTCACTGTTATTGTTTATTTACAAATCAAGATTAGAAGCTCACTTACTTCTCTCGGTTCTCTATCTCCAGTATTGTATCAGGAAGCTGTCTGTTAAATGTTTCCGGAAGAAGGAAGACCATAATGGCTGCTACTATTGACAGAACACCATAGATTACTGAAGGTACAGCGACGTGCGTGGATTTACTCTAAAGAACAAAACAGAACAACTTATCTCAACTGATTCTGAAATTGATCAATAAATTACAGTACTTTGTGATCTGCCATATGTAAAATTAGTTTAAAAACAGAATATAAGTTAAATTCATTCAATCTTTGTCTTTGTTTGTTGTTAATGGGCTATCTGTGCTCTGCCCACCACGGGTATTGAAACCCGGTTTCTAGCATTGTAAGTCCACAGACATACCGCTGTGCCACTAGGGGGCGTCTGGTAAGTGGCAATACGTAATCTGATATACTTTAATACATAAATGAATATTTCTTGTACACCTCGTAACTCACAAGGTTCTTATAAAGCAGTTTGACTTCTAAATTTTTACCTCAGCCTGTATTTACCAGGACGAAACTTAATGAACAAATGTTTATCATAGTGTAAATATGT